ACAAGTGTTTGCTTGGGGCACGTAGACAAGTGTTTGCTTGGGGCACGTAGACAAGTGTTTGCTTGGGGCACGTAGACAAGTGTTTGCTTGGGGCACGTAGACAAGTGTTTGATTGGTGCACGCAGAGAAGTGTTTGATTGGTGCATGCAAGAGATGTGTTAGGTGGGTGAATGTAGAGATGTGTTAGGTGGGTGAATGTAGAGATGTGTTTGGTGGGGGGTGAATGTAGAGACGTGTTTGGTGGGTGAATGTAGAGACCTGTTTAGTGGGTGAATGAAGAGATGTGTTTGGTCAGTTTTGTGAGTAGAGAAGTGTCTGGTTTGTCAATGAAGAAAAGGGTTTAGTTGGTGTATGTAGGAAGGGTTTGGTGGGTGAATATAAAGAAGGGTTTGGTGGGTAAATATAAAGAAGTGTTTGGTGGGTGAATATAAAGAAGGGTTTGGTGGGTGAATATAGAGATGTGTTTGGTGGGTGAATATAGAGATGTGTTTGGTGGGTGAATATAGAGATGTGTTTGGTGGGTGAATATAGAGATGTGTTTGGTGGGTGAATATAGAGATGTGTTTGGTGGGTGAATATAGAGATGTGTTTGGTGGGTCAATGTAGAGAAGTATTTGGTGGGTGAATGCAGGGAAGTGTTTGTTGAATGAGGTTTACTTGCAGACACACCAACCTAACACTTCTCTATGTATACCAACCAAACCATTCTCTACGTACACTGAGCACTTCATGGTGTATATAGAGAAGTGTTTGGTCGGTGTGAGTAGAGAAGTGTCTGGTTTGTGTACGGAGAGAAGGGTTTGGTCGGTGAATGGAAAGAAGGGTTTGGTCGGTGTGAGTAGAGAAGTGTCTGGTTTGTGTACGGAGAGAAGGGTTTGGTAGGTGAATGGAGCGAAGGATTTGGTCGGTGAATGGAGCGAAGGGTTTGGTCGGTGAATGGAGTGAAGGGTTTGGTTGGTGAATGGAGTGAAGGGTTTGGTCGGTGAATGGAGCGAAGGGTTTGGTCGGTGAGTAGAGAAGTGTCTGGTTCGTGTATGGAGAGATGGGTTTGGTCAATGTGAGTAGAGAAGTGTCTGGTTTGTGTATAGAGAGAAGGGTTTTGGTCAGTGAATGTAGAGAAGGGTTGGGTTGGTATACATAGAGAAGTGTTAGGTTGGTGTGTCTACAAGTAAACATCATTCAGCATTCATTAGGAAAGGTTACAAGTTCAACTTGCAGCAGAGGCTCACATAACCTTCATACAGATTTAACCCGGCAAAGCAGTAAAGCTGGCAAATCTCCCTGTAAGGTGGGCACCTTGCCAGCCCACGGGAACAGTCTCACTTCAATTCCTTCACCTGATACAAGAGTGTTTGTGCAGTTAATGTTGTTATTAAATCTGCATCGCTCTTGTTACACGCTAATGATATCCTTTTTTGCTGTAGCCCATTCTCTGATTTCTTTGTCTTGCATGTATTGAATGGTTACAGTCTAAACAGCTTAGTCTGAAGTGGAACTATCACTGCTTCTGTGTACCTGTGTGCGCCAATAATGAAACACAATGCGTACCTGCAAAATAACTCACAGGGCATGTTAGGGTCCATTCCCTAAGCGGCAGGAATTACTGCAGTACCAAATTTCTATATTATATCTCCCTAAAATTTGATGCGCAAACAAAAATAATTTTTGTGAAATCAATATTTTTCACCTCAATACCAGCGATGGGTTTATCATCAGGGGTGCACTTGTGAAAAGTGTGTCAGCATGGCTACTATAGCCTCCAATGGACAAGTAACAGCGCATAATTGGAGAACAAGAACATTATGTTGGCAATCAATAAAAAGTCGTGCCTGAATATAGACCTCCATGGCAGACTCGCCAAGTATTTTATGATTTAAGATTTTATTTTAATATAAAATACCAAATATACAGTATATACTGTAGCTGATCTGTTCCATACTATAAATGAGCAAATGAAAAGAAAATCATAGTATAATTGTAAAAATCAGAAAGTAATTCAGGATATGTTCTGCTTTTGTGAAATGACCCTAATTTCTACAAGAGACAAGAAAAAGATAAGAAGGCACATGGCATACACCGACATTTCTAGGCCACGCAGGACTCCTTTCTCAAGGTGATAGCAAGGTGACAGACCCTTGGCGTGCTGGCTGTTTCTTGTAATTGACCTATAACATTGTGTCACCGTAAGACAAACACTCCAGAATTAAATGTATAGATATGGTGCACGATAAATTGGATGATTTTCTAGTTTCATACACTGGATCATAGTGGAAGCAATAAGCCCCAGGTACACACACAATATATATATAAATATATATATATATACATACATACATACATACATACATACACATATATATATATATATACATACACACACACACACACATATATATATATACACACATACATACACACACAATATTTTCACTGCATACAGCACATACATCTTTTCAAGATGACTCTGTTTACTACTTGTGCACATGCCAGGCACACATAAAATGCCTGTGATCATGCTGTCAGACAATGCAGACCACAGGCAAAATACACAGAGCAAATCAGAGTGGCTCTGTGCCAGATGACTGCTGTGATGGCCAACCACAGCAGTTGCAAATGTAAACAATGCTTGTGTTAACACGAAAGAGCCCACCCCATCTTCACACAAGGAAGAAGGATTTGGAAATGAAGGGATCTGATTTAATGAATGCAGGGCAGCAGCAGATTCAAGGTATGGAGTGTTAAATCAATTTTATTAGGATCACATTTCATACCCATTCACCCCCCCCCCCCCCCCCCTTCTCCTGTACATCCAATATGCACCCTGACTCCAAAGTGACCAACATATTAACAACTTTGCCTCCTATCCTGCACATTAAACTATTCATGTCTAAATCCCACTGTATGTGACCTACACATTAATGCCATCCTCTCCTTCTGTATTAGATATATATAAAAGCATATCTATAGCCAAAATGTAAAATCATATATTCATTTCCATGTTTATTTCAAATATTCTTAGCCTTCTCCTAATTATCTGAATGATCTTGATGTTTGTAAATTTACTTTTAGATCCCCCCACATCTCCTTCCTTGAATTCTGTGACATGCAGTCACTATGCATTGTAGTAGGCACTGCTGTGTCACACATTTCACAGAGCCTGCCTTCTGATCTGAAGAGTTGCTGAGAGGAGGAGTTTCAGGAGGCGGAGTCAGTACAGGAATCACTGCTTGCAGGCAGCAAGGTACCATGGGATATGTAGTCCTTAGACAATAAATATCAGCAGAGAAGAAGCTGCAAAGCATGCAGGGAATGCAGGAAGTTGTGGAAAGTGGTAGCCAGCAAGCAGGCAGAACTCACAACATTTTTTTTTTTTTTTTTAGGTAATCTTATATTGGATTGCCGAAAATAACTACTGCTTGTATTGGTATTGCAATTCTGTTATAAAATGAAAGTTTATACTGTGATCATAGAACCCTTTTAATGTATTTTACACAATATGTGCTTCAGCTGTGGGAAAAGCTAATATTCTACTTAAAGAGCACTTTTCCTGTAAGTGATGTAGTTCTGCATCTATTACTATCTAATTCACCTGTGAAACTACCTGGAACTACATCAAATGGTGACCCGTTAGATATCCCTGAGTCAAAACACGGACTAATGATACAAGCAGTGTTTCGTTGATCACATACTGTCATGGGAAAAAGATCCAAGTATTTCTACAGTTATTATCTACTGTATCACTAACATCAATGTCTACTCCCCAGCCAGAATAAATGGTCATAATGTGACTTTGGCAGGAAAAGTACAGAGCCATCGGCTCCCCTGGGCTACAGAAGAACTGTCAGTCATTCAGGTAAGATCTGCTCTTCTCAGTACAACTAAGAACACGCCGAGATCCTTGCACAGTAAATGTCGGTGACTGCTTTTCTGATCAGCATTAGTAAAATGATCCATCATATACTCATTCATGTACTGTCATCATCCGCACTATAAAAATGGATTGGCCAGGTTTTAGACATTTTTTCCCTCTTTAAAACTTCTTAGTTTTTAGCTTCAAATATCAGTCCAATAATTGTAAACGCTAAATTCATTGTCTTGTAGGGCACCAAGAGTCTGCGCAGCACTTTACAAGATAGTATCTAATCGCGAGCTGTATTTCATAGTAAAAAGACATTTCTTTTTAATTAAGTTATATTCAGTGTGATTATACAGTATGGGGGCATTTTCACTTTTTAGGCTACATTCCCCTTGGCGATTTAGGCTGGTGCGTATTGTAGCGGCAGGAATCTTCTTATGCCTGCTGTAGCTGTGAGCGGCTAGGTGTGGCTGCCGGCCCTGTGCACTATAATGACAGGTTGCTAGCGGCCGCAGCTATTTACATCTCACTGCAAATCCAGTGATTACCTGCTGTGACTTTTGCTAGATGCACTTTGTCATTACAGGTAATCAATAGCTCTGTGGACAGCCCAAACCTGTCATTATAGGAAATGGGGCTGGTGGCACTGGCCTAAATCGCCAGTATGAATGTAGCTTTAGCTGTTATTTAGTAGCATAAGTTCAGTACAAACTAAAAAATGTTACAAAACCCACAACAGTGAATTCAGTCTGTATATGCAGTAAAGCATGCTTGTTATACTCACTGTGGAACCTAAGGGGTTAATCCTCTGCATTGTGTAAAAACGCGGTTTGATCCTCACTTCTCTGATCTTCCCTTTCTTCCAGTGCCCCCCTCTCATCTCCTGATAAGACATAGCATGTGGAGTCACTCTGCACATGCTCAGTTTGGTGTGTATTGCTAGAGAGTTTTTTTTTACTTGGGAGAGTGCATATATCAGCACAGGGCCAATCAGCACTGTCCAGACAGAGGTCAGGTGTACTGATTCCTCCTAGAGCATAATGAAAACTTCTCCTACAAGCTTTAACCAGTGCTCTGCTGAAGTTACAAGACTGCTCTAACTGCTAATGAGAAAAGGTATTTAGCAGTTTATATTTACCTTTACCTTTTCTCATCAGCAATTAGAGCAGTCTTGTGACTTCAGCTGAGAACTGGTTAAAGCCTGTAGGAGGAGTTTTCTTTCTACTCTAGGAGCATGTGAAATTCTTGACCCTCTGTCTGGACAGTGCTGATTGGCCCTGTGCTGTTCACATGCAGTCTCCCAAGAAAAAAAAACCCTATCAATACGCACCAAACTGAGCATGTGCATGTGACTACAGATTCAGTCTGTATCAGGTGGTCATTTCAACAAGAAGAGGAGCAGAGAAGACAGGATCAAGTTGTCTTTTTACACAATGCAGAGGATTAACCCCTTAGGTTCCGCAGTGAGTATAACAAGCATGCTTTACTGCATATACAGACTGATTTTACTGTCGTGGGTTTAGTAACACTTTAATAACTCTGTCATTACTGGAGATATATGTACAGTAATTTATTTATTTTTTAACAAACAGGACTTTCTTTTGGTGGTATTGTTCTCAAAAATGTTTAATTTTATATATATTTTAATAGGCAAAAATAACTTTAAAAAAAATACGCTCTCTCAATTATTGACCAGAGAACATAAAAAAAAATGTAGATATGAAGCCCTAATTTTTTTTCCTAAATCTGTCCTGTTTATTTTTGAAAAATCTTTATTTATGCATGTACGAAAAGCATAACAGTGTATCAATGGTTACAGAAGACTTAAATAGACTGTTAGTCTCCAAAAATAGAACACTTATCAAAAACCGATTGCCTGAACAGGGGCACGTGTCCTCAGAGAACTCAGGAATGCATTGCAAAGATCACCATAACACATCAAACTGTAGGACAATCCAGTAACTGATCAGTAAAGGCCCAGACTAGAGCCCAATACCAGGGCCTATCAGAGTCTGAGAAACCAAGAAGAGCTACAGAAAGAATCTAAGAAGTGAGGATTAGAAAAGGAGAGAAGGGAGGCAAGAAAGGCCAGAAAAAAACCCAACCTCCATGGGGGAAGAGGGTTGAGAAAACTGACAGCAGTAAAGCTTTATTAGAGAATATCATTGTATCAATTATTCATATAGGTGAGGGATGGTGAAACCAAACCAAAACTACCCAAGTTGTATAGAATGGAGAATATTTATGAAGACATTGATGCCTCCACTGCTCCGTTGCCTGAACTACGCACCCTCAGAAGCCAGTCCCGCACCATGGAAGCCACCAAGGACTTCCAGTGTAGAGGTAGAAGGCTTCTGCCAGCATTCAGGAGGTGAGGTATTAAAGAGTGTTTTTATTTACCAACCGGTAAATGGGTAGCATGAAACAATATGGGAGGATTGTCCTCTAGCTGGTGTTGTGTGTCCTGTTTATTTTTTAAATAAAAATGTTGTTTTAAGTACAAAGCAACACATTTCCTTTCATAGGGTGTCTCCAACCTACGGAGGAGTAACAGAGCCACCCTCTGACAGCAGCATTTTCAATATGGGGACACACTAATAGATTTAGATTGACTTGCAAGTTAAAATTAAAGACCTCCGGATAACTCTTTTTAACTAGTTACAGTAACTTTTCCTTTTGGGATAAAGGTTTTACATAAATAAATGAAAGCTGACCATTGTAAGCAGCGCTGTCAGTGTTATATGGTTTTAAAATGTGAATAAACTCAAGGATTTACTATGGTGAATACAAAATATATAAATGAATACTGTAGTGCACACAACCCATCTCTCAGTGGGCTAAATAATGAATAATAACAATGAAAAATTGCTGCACTACATATAAAAATGCGCACACCTCTTAAATATATATGCATAAAATGGTGAGACAAAAAACATTTTGACACCAAAAAAATAAATTACAAAAAATAAAAATTAATTAAAATTATATAACATTGGACTGTGTTATATAATTTTTATTTTTTTGGAATATTTATTTTTTTTTGGTGTCATAATTTTTGTTTTTTTGCGTTCACCATTCTATGCATATATATTTTAGAGATGTGTGCATTTTTATATGTAGTGCAGCAATTTTTCATTGTTATTAAGTGTTATATGGTTTCTCTAAACCCCTTTACCCTTCCAGGTCTGCAATAGCATCTTCATTCATTTTGCCACGGCTCGGGATAACATTGCCTATGCACACCAGAATTCATTTAACCTACAGATGCCTGGACTGTACACTGAGCTGCCCTTGTTTGAAGTTTACTCTCTGTTATACATAAGTGAATTATATGATAAAGGACTGCCATTTTATCATTTATTTGAAGCACATCATTTATTAAAGTTTAATATGAGTTATATTTCTTTTTTCACACACAATTTTGTATTGATCACTGCAGGGAGATTGGTTTGGCGCACATTTTAGAGTAATTACTGAGCTGCAAACGCAAGGCTCAATTTACATTTTGAAAAAAAAAAACATTGCTGGCAGGCAGGTGAGACATACAGAGTCTATTCTGCAATAAAAACTTGCCTGCCCGCAATGTTTTTAAATAAGACTTCAGTTTTAGGTTACATGGATAAAGTGGAATTTAGTTAGAAAATCAGGTCCCACTAGATCACTTCAGGCGGTCCCTTTTGCAGGTATAGCTACTGTATGTAAAACATTTAAAATAACAACCTATTTCTCTTTAACAACTTGTCCTCCTGGGGATTTACCCCCCTTCCTGACCAGGCCATTTTTTGCTGTTCGTCACTGCACTATTTCAACTGGTAATTGCGTGGTCGTGCAATGCTGTACCCAAACAAAATTTATGTACTTTTTTTTCACACAAATAGAGCTTTCTTTTGGTGGTATTTGATCACCTCTGCGGTTTTAAATTTTTGCACTATAAACAAAAAAAGACCAAAATGATATTTTTCACTTTTGATTATAAAAAAATATCCAATAAACTCAACGTTATTCATAAATTTAGGCCAAAATTTATTCTGCTAGATGTCTTTGGTAAACAAATATCTCAATACATGTATATTATATGGTTTTGTGTGAAAGTTATAGCATCTACAAACTATGGTATATATACTGGAATTTTATGTAGCTTTTACTTTCTGACTGCCTCACATTTCTTGAGGTGCTAAAATGCCAGGGCAGTAAACCCACCCAAATGACCCCTTTATGGAAAGTAGACACCCAAGGATTTTGCAGAGAGGCATGCCGAGTTCATGGAACATTTTATTTTTTGCCACCAATTTTTTGAATATGACAATTTTTTTTATTTACACATAGTTGTCACTTTAATGATATATTGCTCATGCATGCCATGGATATATGCGGAATAATACCCCAAAACACATTCTCCTACTTCTTCCGAGTATGGAAATACCACATGTGAGAGCCTTTTTTGGCAGCCTAGCTACATACAAGCCCCCAAAATCCAATGACCACCTCCAGGCTTACAAAGGGCATATTTCCTCATATCACTTCCCCACTACCTATCACAGTTTCGGAGGCTCTAAAATACCAGGATAGTACAAACCCCCCCCCCCCCAAATGACCCCTTTTTGAAAAATAAGACACCCCGAGGAATTTTATAAGAGGCATGGTGAGTATTTTACAGATATCATTTTTGTCACAGGGTTTTGAAAAAGAAAAAAAATATTTTGTTTTTTTTTTCGTTTTCCAAAAACATGTGGCAAAAAATGAAATCTGCAAAAGACTCACCATGCCTCTGAGCAAATACCTTGAGAAGTGTCTGTTTTCCAAAAAGGGGTCATTTGGAGGGGTTGTTTCTACTATCCTGGCATTTCAGGGCCAACATTAGAAGCTTATGCCACACATCACCCACTCTTGAAGACCAAGCCTTTTCTGACATCTTTTGTTCACATGAAAAAAACATTTTTTTTTGCTAGAAAATTACTTAGAACCCCCAAACATTATATATATTTTTTTAAAGCAGAGGCCTTAGAAAATAAAACTGTGGGTTTTGAAATTTTTAATGTCACACGGTATTTGCGCAGCGATTTTTCAAACGCAAATCTTTTTGGGAAAAATACACTTTTTAGAATTTTAATGCACAAAAGCACAATATATTGCCCAATTGTTTGATAAACTATAAAATATGATGTTACACTGAGTGTATATATATATATATACCAAACATGACATGCTTTAAAATTGCACATGCCCATGCAATGGCATACATTTTTATTTTCGATAGGCGATGCTTTAAAAGCCTTTACAGGTCACCAAATTATATTTACACAGGAGGTCTAGTGCTAGAATTACTGCCCTCGATCTGACATTCACAGCGATACCTCACATGCATGGTGCAACCACTGTTTACATACGGCACGGGGTCAGTGCGCACGCAAGGAGGCAAGGTTTTTTTGTTTTTTTTTCTTTTTTAGTTATTTTGATTTTTTTAATTATTTTTACACGGTCCTTTTCATTTTTTTTAAATCACTTTTAATGCTATTACAGAGAATGCTAATATCCCCTATAACTTCAATGAGCATTGTCATTTATTCTTTTTTGAGAAATCTGGGGTCTATCAGACTCTAGATATCTCCTCTGCTCTTACATTCTCTAATCTGACCAAGATCGGTGTGATCAGATGCTTTCACAATTTACAAATGGAGCTGTTTATATCCTGCGAAACTGAAGTGATGAAATGCTCGTAGCTTGTGGTCTCAGACTTTAGAGATGATTGGAGCCATTCTAGTCTCTGATATGCTCTATGGTCAGCCAGCAGAATTCTCGGATTCCCCTGTGTGACAGGAGAGGCCAAGAAAACTGTGGAAGGCGGCAGAAGGGGGGGGGGGGAATGTCCCTTCCCGCTGTTTGTAAAAACAATGCAGCAGCTAATTGGCCACTAGGATTGCTTTTACATGAAAGCCAACCACCAGCTGAAAAAAACTGTACCAGAATGATGCCTGTAGCTGCAGGCATCATCCCGGTATAACCACTCAAAGTCTAGTGACGTACCAATACATTTCAGGTCCATGTTGGGCATATATGTAACAGCAGAGAACACGGGCATACAATGAATTGGCTCTGTGGATCAACATGACCGCAATTCATTCCTTTTTGTAATGCCCATGTTGAGGGTTAGGCCCAAAAAAGTTTTACATTCAGAAACCGTGATAGGTTGTCATGCGAATTGTCTGTAAAGACCTGAATTTGGGTGGGCGGCCATGTACTGTTGTGCGTATAAATTGCCTTGGCCCACAATCAATTGGTACAAAAGCAGCAGAGGGGCTAAACTCTAGTTCTGACAGCGAATGGGGCTGATCCTGCTAACTGCATTTTTGTGGACACTATACAAAGGAGGCACTAGTATAG